TGTTTCTCATCTCGGGAAAACATGCTGGGCGACTACCAGGTCTAGGCCGAGGTCCCACACCTTCTTGCCAAGGTGTTGCCTCGATGGCCACATTCAATGAAATGAGGTCGAGAAAATCTGGGTTTCCCTTTCTTGAAGAACATGAATATGAGGAAGATGAATGCAAGATCATAATTTGCTATTAGAAAATCTGAGATTTCATGCTATGAATTCAAATACATGGACCTGGGTACCCATATTCAAGGATCTTGCTAGAACATACACAAAACATGAATCTTAAGGCAAACTTTCGGATCAAACAAGACTTTTTCTTCAAAAACACATGAACACTATCTTCTCTTTCTAAAACCAACTTTAAACCAATGCATAACATGCAAAACAGGTCGATCGTGCAATGCAGCTGAATGATCAATAAGAGCGACAAGAGTGAATCAAGAATCTAACCTCAATACACGAATCTAACGGTTTGATCTCCAGAAATCAAGCTCGAAAGTCTACTCTCTCACTCTAAGACTTCTTCTTCTTCCTAGAGCCTCTCTCTCTCTACAAGGCAAAGATGTAATACAAAAATGTATATTTTCTGGGTCTGTCGGCTGACTTAACACTCAACTGGGACACATGGCACTACCGGGTTGGTTCTCTTCAAAAAGGTGGCTAAGTGAAAAGACAAAACTATGACAAAGTGTGTTCAACAAGCAAGATGGCATGGGCACTCTGGCGGGTAATGATCTCGGCTAAGAACAAGACATCGGCAAGTAGGGGAACAATGATCTCGGCTAGGAAGGACAACACTTGACTAAGCTGTGCCACACCTTGGCCTAGATGTGCCATACCTTAGTCTAGGTCACACCACTCCAGGACAAGATCACTTAGGTGCAAAGGTGACATCTCGGCCTAGATAATACACATCTCGGCCTTGGTGATGAACACCTCAGCCTAGATAATGACATCTCGGCCAATATGTTAGGGCGAAGGTGGAGGTCAAACAAAGTGGTTCCAAGGAAGTTCTAGGCTAAAGATGACCTCGGCTAAACTCACACCAAGCAGGGTACAAACACATGCAAGAAACTCTTAAGAAAATCAAATCAAGGTTTGCAAAAATGCAACATATCAAGACAAGATCATGTAATATATGCAAACGTGACTAGAGTGGAGTGAGGGTCGTTACAGATATATTTTCTGAGCACCAACACGTGGCCAAGGTGACGCCGACGTGTCAGCCGAGGTGCCACGTGTCCTGGTCATGACGCCGAGGTTATCTCAGCACGGCCAAGGTTATCTCCGAAGATATCGAAATCCGAGATAAGCGGATAGGGCATAAGAGTCCTAGAATGATGAGGGGACTCAGCCTAGATAAAGATAAAGCTCTTAGGGAGTTTATCTCTATCTGTTAAAGAGTTCTGGATAAGCATTGAGCTAAAGTCCATTGAAGCTAGGCTTCTGTTGGGACAAGGATTGAGTTAACTATAAAAGAAAGGCACCGCCGATGGGTCTAAGGTACGCAATTTATATTTAGAACAGAGAGTTTAGCAATTGATTATCTTTGAGAGATATACTGACTTGATCGTCAGAGTGCCCCCAGGTGGACGAACCACCGCCGGAATCTTCTCTTTCTGTTGCAGGTCGGCCAGGTGTCATCTATTCTGCCAGTACTCTCCAGCTGAATACTGAGTTGGCAGTGTAGTCATAAAATCACTCACACACATGTTATGTTAATGAAACATCAAGTTTGATTTCACATAATTGACATGCTTTTGGGCCTTGATTTTTGTGAAATGATTTTCAATTCATGATATTCTACAAGTTTCTAATTGTTTTCTTAAGTTTTGGCCTAAGAAGATGAGTTTTGATGTGTTAAATTCGAGTTTTGAGTGTGGGAGTGCAATCTAGAAATTCCAGAATTCTGCTCCTGAGCTTGAGCGACAGATCCTGTGCTCAAGTGACCACCTTTATTTTTGAACCTCCGCTCGAGCAACCAAAAGTTGGCTCGAGCGTAAATTGCATGCTCCTAGAAGTTTCTATGTTTTGTAGATCACTCAAGCGACAAGAGTTGTGCTCGAGCGAAGACCTCAGTCTCACACTCGAGCTACCGTCGAGCGGAAAAATCAAGCAACTAGTACTTTTGCAAAGTTTACAGACCGCTCAAGCAACCAAAATTGCGCTTGAGCGACCTCTCACATTTTTTAACGTCTGCTCGAGCGAAATAAGCTGTGTTTGAGCAAGGACCCTGTTTTTAGCAAATCTGTCTAAGTGTTGAACAACATGTTTTGGCATCCTCATTGCATCCTAGACATTCCTAGTCCGAGATTAAATATAATAATGAGGATAAGGGCTAGAAACACACTAAGAACAAAATAAGATAAGTTAAGTACGACTCGAGCATGTGTTTCAATATGTGTATCTGTTATGTTTGTGTAGGTCACGTGCCGTGAGCTGTTGATCCATTGGTTGCTATCAAAGCTATCTATGCAGTTATCTGTGAGTATTAACTTAGTAAAGCTATGTTTGATATAAAAATACTTTCTGAACACTATGATATGTTATGAATTGTTTCTGAATGATACAAAAGGCTATTTTGTGATCCATAACTTTGAAATGTATTTGCGATATCCTTAGCAGAGGCCCTCACCCAGGGGAAATAATGTTGTGACTTATGGTTATGAGGCCCTCGCCCGGAGGAAACAATACTGAGGCCCATGTATAAGATATGTTACCTGGTACCAGAGGTTCCATTATGGAACTTGATATGTTTGACCAAAGTGATATGTTAATGCTAATGGAAGTACCACACATGATTTGAATACGAATATGAACAGGACTCTGTTTTTGATACAACCATGCTTATTTCTCTTATTGATATGATACAGAACTGGACATCATTTTATTAAAATCTTTACCCTGTTATTATTCATTGAGCTTTTGCTCACTATTTATATTATGTATGTAGGTGACCAGGTGCGTGACCAGGCTCAGAGTTGATGACCTGGAGTCTCCGTTTTGTCGGCCAACTATTTTGCCGCTCGAGGAGGTTCCAGAAAGGGTTCAATGGTCGAGTTTTGTAAACCAAGACATAAGCTTAAGACTTTTGTTGTTTTGTGACTAGTTCTTTTGTTCTATTTTGTGTATGATAACAAGGTTGGATGGATGTCTATGACATTATATATGTATATATATACAGGGTTTTTAAATTATCTGTTCCATGTATGTCTGCATAGCTCTATGAACTATGTATGTTTTTATATTTACTTCTGCAGCCCCTTATTGCGTGATAATCTGTTCAGAGGCCTTTAGTAATCCAAAGATTACTGGCCGGTTACGACGCTAAACCTATCGGAGCAGGTTTGGGTCGTGACAGTTAGTAAAATGCTCTGATATCACTATTAGAAAATATAGGTTACCCAATTCAGTTCCAGATTTCAGTCAGTCAGTTCAGTACTTTAATCAGTTCAATTATCAGTCATAATCAGTTCAGTTTAATGGTAATCAATGTTTATCGGTAAGCAGTGGTGAGGGTTATTACACCAGGTACGTGACCAGGCTCAGAGTTGATGACCTGGAGTCTCCATTTTGTCGGCCAACTATTGTGCCTCCCGAGGAGGTTTCAGAAAGGGTTCAATGGTCGAGTTTTGTAAACCAAGACATAAACTTAAGACTTTTGTTGTTTTGTGACTAGTTCTTTTGTTCTATTTTGTGTATGATGACAAGGTTGGATGGATGTCTATGACATTATATATGTATATATATACAACGTTTTTAAATTATCTGTCCCATGTATGTCTACATAGCTCTATGAACTATGTATGTTTTTATATTTACTTCTGCAGCCCCTTATTGCGTGATAATCTGTTCAGAGGCCTTTAGTAATCCAAAGATTACTGGCCGGTTACGACGCTAAACCTATCGGAGCAGGTTTGGGTCGTGACAGTTAGTAAAATGCTCTGATATCACTATTAGAAAATATAGGTTACCTTAGGCGGAAAAACATCCACGCAGTAAGATCCGGAATCTTGACTTGCGAGCCCTTCTTGTTGCAAACTCCACATCAGTAGAGAGGCTATTAGGGTCTCCCTTATGGAACACACACTCCAAATTGGCAAGGTTGCTGATTCTCTATCATAGCATATTACTAACTCTTTTTTGCCTATTGCTTGTTTTCGCCTCTTGATTAGTACGACATTGATTTGTTTATTGCTTATACTATTAGATTGATGCATCATTAATATGGTTTTATATTATGGCATATTATATTTAAAGAGGTTTTTTTTTTTTTTTTTGGGTAATACACATACAACAAATGTTTTGGTACTCAAAAACAGAAAAAAAAAATTTCATTTTTTGTAAATGAAATTGACATATTTAGATTGTACTCCCCATAAGCTTTTTATTGATATAAAATAGGTTTTAATTAGAGTTAAATTGAAAAATATATGATTTTTCAATTTTTTTGAGTTAAATATGTATTTTTTGCATACAACAAAGTTTTTGGTACTCAAAAACAGAAAATAAAATTTAATTCTTTTGTAAATGCAATTGACATATTTAGATTGTACTCTCCATAAGATTTTTATTCATATAAAATAGGTTTTAATTGGAGTTAAATTAAAAAATATATGATTTTTCAATTTTTTTGAGTTAAATATGTATTTTTTGCATACAAAAGATTTTTTGGTACTCAAAAACAGAAAATAAAATTTATTTTCTTATAAATTAAATTTACATATTTAGATTGTACTCTCCACAAGCTTTGTATATTTTTCAATTTTTTTGACTTAAATATGTATTTTCACTGTTATAATAATACTTAAAGATCACACGTGAGTAATTAAAAAGTCTCACTTTTATTAAAAGTATGATTAAAAAAATGAAAATAATATTTTAATCACAATTAACCTAATTGAATGGGTATTTCTATATAAATGTGATTGAATATATTTTTTTAATTTTAATTTTATATCTCTATAATAAAACAACACAAACTATTTTTAAAAGTGTTCATATTTATAATTGGCTCTTCCTTGTCGTCGACACCCACACTCCTCTGTCGCAACAACTACGGTAGCCACCATCTTAGCCTCACACAGCATTGCGAAGGTGAACACACACATATATATATATATATGCTTCAGTTTTCAAGAGTTAAACTATTTGGAAAGCTTTGATAAAAATTTATCTTTGTATAGAATGAGAACAGCATGACTTTACCTAATTTGTCATCTATGATTGAATCTCCAAATTCATAGAAAAACTATTGTTCTCAAGCTTATACTTACAGAGATTTCTGTTTCCTTCAGTTTGGGTATTGGATTACAATTTTTTTTTGTTTTAGGTTTGTGAATAATATGGAGCTCTTTTTGATCACGGAAGTTTCCTGAATTTTTATAATATGGTTTCGTACCTGCAAAAATTTTCCTCCCCTTCTAGCCATGGTGTTTCAAGAGATTATGTTGATTAGGTTATACTACTCTTTCTCTTTTGGTCTACAAAAGATACTGATGCTGATGCTGATGTGTTTTTATCTTTATTAATTAATCTTTTGTGATTACATCATTATTGTTGAATAATTCATCACACCATTATTACAGCACATTGGTTATGAGCAAAGGCCTAAACTGTTATAGTGATGACGAAAGATACTGAAAAGTTCATTGTGATTTTCAGTTGGGAATGCACATTTTGAAACAAGGTAGATTTGTATTCTAATTCCTTAAATTTAGTGATCAAATAAAAAAAAAAAAAAAAAATTGCCCCTTTTCTTTCCTCACTCAGTTCTTTTTAAAAAGGATTTATGCAAGTAATGGATTGATAATAAAATGCAATTGACTACTCACATAAAATTCACGAGGAGCAGATTGAGGGAAGGCCTATAACATATCAAATATTAAACTTTCTCAGGGAAAAATTTGGGATTCATCCATTAAACTTACTTGGGAAACATATTGGGATTCAAACAAAACTTATTCTGGAAAGGCTCATATCATTTCAAAGAGTAAACTTGAATCCCAATATGTGCTCTATATTATTTTTTTATTTTTTTTATTTTTTATATATGGGAAATTTTTTTTAAAATATAATTTTTAATTTTTTATATTTTTTTATTTGTTTTATTATTTTATATAAAAATAATTTAATAATTCCTCACTACTAATCCCCTCACTATCAATCCCCTCACTACTAATCCCCTCACTAACAATCCCCTCACTATTAATCTCCTCACTATCAATCCCCTCCATTCTATCTCTGGAAACAAACGGGGCCCTAGTTCAATCTTTGTCAAGAAATAAAGAAGACAAGAAATCTCGGTGGTTGCCTTGTGTCCTTGATTTTGCATACACAATGCGTTTTCATTCATATTATGTATATAAAATATAGATCTATCTTGTTACTTGTGATGTAATATGGCATTGTTTACAACTTACAACAAGTATAAGAAAATGGCTACATTGGACCATAAATAAGGCTCTGTTTGCCAAGAAATTCCCTTGTTTATAATTGTGTTTACAACTTACAACAAGTATAAGAAAATGGCTCCATTGGATTATAAACAAGGCTTTGTTTGCCAATAACTTCCCTTGTCTATAACTGTATTTACTATTCAGATCTCATCTCACCACTTTCTTTAGTATCCCTTCTCTTTCTAAAACTATCATAAATGAGTACATTTTTCAATCAGGTAGGCCGGTTTCAACGTCTACATTACAAGCCATGATTCTTGTGATGCTTGTTCTCAATTGCTTCTAAACTTCTTTTTTCTTCTGTGATAAGCATATCTACGGTTAGTTTTAACATATAAATTAATGAAGAGTATTAAGGTAAGTAACGGTCAAAACTTTTGACTTTTCAAACTAGAACACAGAATGGGACTTCCAAAAATGGAAATTGGGACACATAAAAAGTGTACTAAGGGAGTATTTTGATTTCTACTTGTTGAATTTAGGCCATGTTTGATTGCTGATTAATTTAGGAGGGGATTGGATATCATGGATTGTGGTTGGGATTAGTGGGGATAAGTAATGCCATGGATTATATGCACCATAGGATTAGTTGTATTATGTTTGGTTAGGGTGGGATAAATGGTGGGATAAGATGGAAAGATTATTTATGACCATTGGATTGGGGATGGATATAATCTCATGGTCTTGTTTAAGTAATACCATGGGGGAGGTCGTATTACTTATACTTATGTGAGTTATACCACAAACCAACAAGGGCTTAGGTAGTGTTTGGTTCATTGGAATGGATTGTTCATTCCATCAAAATGTCCATTCCCATGTTTGGTTGATGAAAAAAATAATGAAAAATGCATTGCAAATGAAATTGTCATTCATTATTGTAAGGGAATGATCAATCCATAGGGGAGCCTAAGGAATGGCCATTCCCCTCTAGTCCATCTTATTTCAATAAACCGAATAGAGCATTAAGGTATTCCGCTTCTTTATGGAGTTGTGTCTTTCTCATTGGGAGTATAATGAGAGATTATAGAGGAAGTGAATAAATTTGGTAACTCATTCCATTTGTTGGAGTTTTTTTTCTTTGTGACTCACTTTTTTAAAGTGTCTTGTACTTTTTCCATTATTTTGATTTTTTAGAATATTCTGGTTCCAAGTGAAAAAGTTGTTACCACTTGTTAGGTTGAAGTTTTTGGTTCTAAAGATGGAAACAGGAAGGCAGGTTTTTTCTGTGGATCTTCTGGAGAGATATGCAACAAAGGGGCATGGAGTTATCACATGCATGGCTGCTGGCAATGATGTTATTGTATTAGGAACTAGTGAATAAAAGTTTTACATTGATGGGTTGGTGAGTGCATAGACTTGGTGGGTTTGTTTTTCTTACATTAATGTTTTGCTTTTTGACATGAGGATTTGTTTTTGTTACATAGGATTGTCTAACTAGAAACCCTCTGTCCGATTTCAAGGTATTTCTTTTATTATGTTTACACAAATATCTTTTATATATGTAATTTTCTATCTGATAAATTTGTACCTCAGTCATCTCTCTCTTTCACTATTTCCCACCCACTAACCTCCCTTTGAATTCACTGTTTGTGAGCTAATTAGTCATATACTTGTGGACTCAATGATCATATATAAAGTGAGTTGATCACCAAGTGTTTGACAAAATTACCATGAATCAGTAATTTGTACTACAACAACAAATTATAGTTGTAAGACCAAGTTGAAAACTATAGTTGAAAATCTACTGAAGTTATACACACAGGAGAATGTACAACATGGGCAATTTTAAATTTTAGTTAATGAATAAGACCAAAAAAGCTTTGCCCAGTTCAAAAGCTCCCTATTAGATTTATTATATTCTATTTCTATTTCTTTGTTTGAATGTATGTATTTGCCCTCGTTGAATTCCAGGACTTTATGTAGATGAAAGTTGGATTAATTTTTCCTGTGTGTTATTGTTGAATACATTGCTTCAACTTACTAGGTTTATGTAGGGTGACTTATATTTTTTGGAATTTTTTTCCCCTCACCAATAAGAAAATTTGAGAATAGATTTTGTGGTTGATGGGCAGGGCACCATAAAGAGCTCTCTCTCTCTCTCTTTCTGGAAGAGTGTGAAATGCATGCATTTTGATTCATTTGATTACACTATATTTTTCTTTTCTTGCTAATTCATTTGTCTTTATTTTTTTGCCCATCTTTTCCATGATCAATAATCTATACCCAAAACTAACTGAAAATGCCACTACATTCATGAACCAATGTGAAATATATAGTCATGTAAAATAACAATCCCCATCAAATTATGAAGGAACTTTTTGATATAGATGCTGGTCTTAACTCAAATTTGTCTATTGTTGCGCATGCTTAACAGGTTCTGCCCCTGGTGAGCTCTGCTGTGGAGGAAGATCTCCCATGTGAGTCACTACATTTTAGACATGATTTTTTTTTTTTTAAATTTCAAGATGATTCTACTTGCAACTAATATCTAATAAAAATTTAATTGTTGCAATATTTTATTAGGTTTGTTTTGGTTATGGTTTATATTATTTTGTGCATTACAATTAGTAGGAAATACCAAATTGGTGGTTACTTCTGATTCCTATAAAGGTATATCATATATTTTTTTAATTTCTCAGTGGGGCAGTTAGTTGGATCGTCTGAGATCGATGCAACTTGTTTTCTTCTTGTTAAAAATAATGGCAAAAGAAGAAGAAAATATATTTTCCATTAACAATAATTTGCTGAGGATCTCTTAGTTTGATGCTAACCTGGAATGGTCCAGCCTGTTGGGCATTCACTTTCAGGTGTCAAAAGAACAGAAACATAAAGTATTGTTGTGCATTGGCCATTGATCTTGACTCTTGATGAGGTGCTAGTGGTGTATGGAAACATCACATATTATATGTGGACACTTCCATTTTTGTTTGCTAGACCATTTTTTGGTCTGTGATCTTTTGAGGTTTGTCTATTGGTTCAGAATAGTTTTAGGATTTATTGCCAGAGCAATAATCATATACATTTTAGTTATTTGGAACTCAAATGCTCTGTATACTTCATTCTTAATTGTCATGCTTTGCCTTTTCCCATAAATGTTAATTCACATTTAGCATTCAACTATTTATTTAATTTGGTTCACCTTTTGCCACACTTGTGTACAGATTCATCTAGAATTGCAAGTCTATAGGTCGTCATTTTTTATGAAGATGAGAGGCAAAAGGAAAGATGAAATGACAGTAGAACAGTCTATTGTTGGAGGTTCCCTTCATGGTGGTTCACTTCAGATGAATAGGAACACTGATCATGTTAACTCACATATTAGAGTTAATAGAAGTTCACCATTTGGTAGTAGTTACAAGGAAGCTTGTAACTTGGGCTTAACATGGTTATATAATCTTGGGAACACTTGTTTCATGAACAGTGCCATTCAGTGTTTGGTGCATACTCCAAAGCTTGTTGATTATTTTCTTAGAGCCTACAGAAAGGACATAAATCCTTTGGGCATGAATCTGTGTATATTTAGAATCCAACAATTAGTTATTGTACTTTTGAAAGAGCTTGTTCTGGCATTTTGCCCTCTTGTTATGTTTTTTGTTGGTGGCCTCTTCAATGTGTCATACTCTCTCTCTCAATGTGCACTTTTTGGCCAGGGTGAACTTGCTTTACTATTTGGAGATTTGTTAAGGAAGTTATGGGCTCCAGGAGCAACACCAGTAGCTCCAAGAGCGTTCAAATCGAAACTTTCTGCTTTTGCACCTCAATTCAGTGGTTATAACCAGCATGATTCCCAAGTTAGTGAACTTTCCTTGCTTTTAGAAGTATAGTCTGTACTATTGTTTCTCTATGTCTTCTGGATGCAAAATAATTCTTATAATTTGTTGTTTTTAATGCAGGAATTTCTTGCTTTTTTGTTGGATGGGCTCCATGAAGATCTCAATCGTGTGAAATACAAGCCTTACATAGAAGCAAAGGAAGCAGAAGATCGGCTTGATGAAGAAGTGGCAGATGAGCACTGGCGGAATCATCTGGCTCGCAATGACTCCATCATAGTTGATGTGTGCCAAGTGAGTCTTCTGTGATTTGGACTTGTCTACCACGATTAAATTCATTTTAATATGTACTTGTTTTATGATTTGAGATTGGAGCACTATTTGGATTAGTTTTCTTTGCTTCAAACTTTGGTGCTTCAGTAGCATATGCTGTAAATTTGCTTGGTCTTTCTTTTCAACTGAGTTGAATTCTTTCTTCTTTTTTTTTTACTATAGGGTCAATACCGTTCAAAATTGGTTTGTCCAGCTTGCAAGAAATTGTCCGTTACATTTGATCCATTCATGTATCTTTCGTTACCACTACCTTCAACAACAATGCGCTCAATGACTTTGACAGTCATGAGCACTGATGGGAGTACTTTGCCATTTCCAGTCACTGTAACTGTACCAAAGTATGGAAGATGTAAGGATCTAGTGCAGGCCTTAAGCACCACATGTTCTTTGAGAGATGATGAAAAACTGTTGGTAGCTGAGGTATGTTTTGTAGCAATGTGGTCTATAATTAATATTTAATGTAGTTGTGAACTCTAATTCTTTCTCTACATATGTGCAACAAACAACTTGCATCAAGGTCTCACTGAAAATGATGGGTTTTCAAGCACCATATTGTCATGTCACTTGCATGATGGTGTAGTGTGTTGGACTTCAAGCACTGTAATTGGTCATGTAGCACTTGACCAGTTATGTTCTCTGAAATGTAATGCATGCATTTTCTTTCATTTTATTTTCAGTGGACAATAGAAAGATGATGTGTTGCATTTTTTTTATGGTTGCTCAACGTAGATCAACGTGTCGAAAGATTATGCATTTGAGCCTTAAAATTGAACCAACCATGGATACAGACATGGGACACGGCCATGCATACACAATAGCTAACTAAAAATTAGGACTTGGACATGTTGAATAAAAAAAAATGTATATTATATATTATAAATCCATATATCAAGATATCAAAACAACAAAACCACTAAACCAAAAACCAAGAACTAAGAATCTATGGCATTTTATATTTAATCATCATTCATCACTCCATAATTCTACCATTTGACATATAATCATAAGATTGTCTATCTAGAAATTTGCCAACAACTGTACAAAACATCTGTATATAAACCAAAAAAAATATAAAAATTGTCCCAGATGTGTCAGGCACTGATACATGAGGTCAGACCAAGTGTATGTGCTTAATAGTTTAACGTAATAGGTATCTAGTCGACAATCATTGGAGTTCGTTGGATGACGACAAAGGTCATTGAATTTCATGGATGTGGGAGCTAATATTTATAGTTTCATTTCTTTCTCATTCCTGGTTCTTAATATTTTTCCTTTTTTAGATCCACTAGTTTCCAAAAGTTAGCTTATTCTTTATCTTCTTTTCATGTTGAGTATTTATGTATTTTTTTCATTTTTAATATTCTTTTAAAGTGTCTCTCAATGTGTCCCCACATGTTCATAATTCAAAATTATTTTCAGACACTTCTCATGTGACACTTGTCTGAGCATGTTCAGAGCATGTCCCTGTCCCAGAAGTCTTGGGACACTGATGCATAGGTCAAGGGGAGGTGCTCGTGCTTCATAGAAACTGAAGATTGTTCTTCAATCACCATATTAAGTGAAATGACACTCATATAGTTATATAGCACAATAACCTTGACTAAAGGAATTGCTAATTCTAAATACAAGAATTTTTGTATTTCTGAAGAAAAATTAATCATCAAAAGTAAAGAAGGAATTTGGTGACTTTAAATTATATAATTGTCCTGGTGTTTTGTTTATTGCTCTGAGGTCATACCTGTCTATATGAGGTGCTTATCTTTGTTTACAAGCGTTATAAGCAAATTTGGCATGAGAGATCTGTATACACAAATGTGAAATTTATCCTTTACATGCTTGTGCCTGCAATATTACAATATTGGGATCTGATCTTAGGAGTGCTTTGCAGATTTTCAACAATCGCATTCTTCATTTTTTGGATAATTCATCTGATACGATAGAGCTTATTCGAGATAATGATCTGCTTGTCGCTTATAGATTGCCAAAAGACAGTGAGACATCTTCTTTGGTTGTATTCATGCATGAACAGGTGGAGAGGTTAGTTGTTGTATCAGTCATCCATTATTTTGGTTTCATTAATTTAAAGTGATTTCCATAGGTGTTAGCTCTAGTCATATGAAGTCTTGATAAGATATGCCATATTTTCTTCTATTTATAGTAGGTTTTCCCCCCCTCCCTATTTGATATGTTGATTTATCTGGTAGTTTTAATTTATCTATAGAACCTTATAAATATCGAAATCCCCGTTCAAATGAGCTCAAGTAAATCCAGCTCAAAGTTGATTGAACGAGCCTTAATCCCAACTCAAGTATTCTATAATCATTGTTTTCTGGAATGGCCAAAGTAGCTGAGTTATTGTTGGTCTCTTCTATCCCAATCTGACCTTGCATTCTGTTGTTTATGAGGCCTTATCTTTATGCAACTAGTTGAATTTGGATGGCATTGTAAAACTTCTAGTGTGACTTTGTGAGCAATTTCTTCTCTTTTGGCAAATAGAATGAGCATGGAAGCATTCTTGTTACCATAATATGGGGGCCTTTTCTTGGGGACTGAAATTTATGTTGATAGTTATTTCTCCCCAAAAGTAAAGCATTTGACTTGTTAGCTGTATATCAGACTCCTCTATGGATTCTGTTAGACCATTTTTTTAAAATTCTTTCTTGGTAGTTATTAATTTCTTAATATGGGAGTAGTGCAGTTGCTATTTTTACATGGAAAATTTGTGGAAGATGCTTATTAGTTGGTAGCAGAACTAGTTCAGTGTTGGAGAGCTTGATATGCATTGTTGTGCCCCTTTCCTAACAGTTTAAACTTTGGGACTAGTGTTGGTCTAACATAGTATTAGAACTTAGGTTAAGAGAGAAGCCTTGGGCTCAAGTATCTCCATTTGATTTTTCCCTCATTTGCATTTTGTTTCTCTACATGTTTGGTTGATTGCATCTGCACATGCAAAACGGGATAGCACGTCAGGGATGGTGTTGGAGAGCATGATATGCATTGTTGGGCCTAGCTTAAACTTTGGTACTATTGGTGACCTAACACACACAAGTTGTGCATTTCTTTTATGCTGTACTATTTGTTACTAATTTTGTTGGCTTCTTGATCAATGTTCAAATGGAATTTAACACGGTTTGCATGTACGTTCTTTCAAACATTTGATATCTTTGATGGTGATTACTTATTTCTAGCTTATTTTATTGGTCAGGCATTTCTTGAATGCAACTTCATCTTCAAAGATGTTTGGTATTCCTCTTGTAGCAAGGATATCCGACCTTTCTAGAGGATCTGAGATACGTAGAGAGTTCCTAAAATTACTAAATTCATTTTTAATGCCGGTGGAAGATTCTTTGAACGAAGTTGATAATGATCAAAACAGTGCTAATGAAGATATTGATATGGAGGATGTTATTAGCTCCAGATTATCAGATAGAGATGTAAACTCAGACAGTGGATCAGGGGATGACTCACATTTGGGTCCCGACGACTTCCAGTTTTACTTGATGGAAGAGAGGGGAGGATTATTGTCAAAAGTTCAAAAGATGCAGATGAATGAGATAGTAACAATCTCAGAGTTAACCAGGCCCATAAATGTACTTGTTTCTTGGCCAGATAAAATGACTAAATTTACCATTTTACCCCATTGGTTCAAATTACCATTTTACCCCTAGTTTTACGTACAAGCCTAACATATTAATAAGTTTGGTTTTCAAGAGCCTTCAAAAGCCACACACACAAAATAAGGCGATGAATTTTGTAGAAGCTCTTATAAAATTGTAACTTTTGTGAGAAACCATGTCTAATTCAATTCAAGTGTGTTCCAATTTCATACTTTACCCCAAGTTAACCCCACTTTCCATGTGATTCAAAAATGACATGCTCTAGGTGAAACTCAATTCTTGCTATCATAAATTCATATGATATGGAGATAACCTTGTTTTAATATTAAATTTTTGGTCAAAATGACAAAAGTAAATGGGAAATGATTCATATGGCTTTTACACAGTTCGTTTACTAATTTCACAAAAATCTCCATTTGCTTCTTTTTATTAATTTGAGCTTCCATTTTGTTACCCCTTTTTTTTGTACTGAGCTTAGCAAGGAGAAGCGAAGAAAGCATTGGAAGTGCTTCAAAAACCTGCTGTGCCCATAGATCTTCAGGTAAGGGCTAATCACGATTATTTGAGTCAAGGTTGGGCAATTTTGTTTATTTATTTATTTTGTATAATAATGACTGACCACAGCTTCACTTGCCATCTTTTATTATTATTATTATTTCATTTACTGCCAAAGCTGCTATTTGTGTACATGATATTGCAACAGGCAAACAGCTGCTCATCTACAATCTGTTAAACCATTATATTGTTGAAAAAGTTAACAAATTGTGTTTACCATGCAGTACAAGTTTGCTCCAGACCTCATCATGCTTGATGCATATGAAACTGTGGAGTCATGGATGACAACAAAAAACCTGAACCCAAGGAAGTTAATTCCTGCAATGATGCGTTATTCAAGTGAACCTCATGCAAAGTAAAGTTCTCCCCAGTTTGAAATTATGGCAAAAGATTGTTGTTTTTTTATAAATCAGACTGAAAGCATAAGTGCTTCTTTAATCATTACAATACTCCAGCTATTTAGGGAATTTAGTTAAAGGTGGATATGATCATTTGATTGTTGAATAATGTCATACTTAGTTTATTTCAATGGTTAGTCTAAATGCAGTTGCACATACAATATGTTGTGCTGCAATTACTGGCAGTTAAAGTTTCAAACCATTTTGCCATGCATTTGGTTTCTTATCCCATGGATTCAGCACAGTTGATCTGCTGCTGTGATGATAGTTTCTATTGTTGGTCGTTTGGTAAAAACTAGGGGCTTGTTTGGTTTGTTTTTGGGAGAGTTGTTTTTGAAAAAAAAATTGGGGAGAGAGTTTAGAAACTTTTTGGGTTTGTTTGGTTGTATATTTTGGGAGAGTTGTTGTTTTGGAAGTTTGGGATGATTTGATATTTTGGGAGAATTTGAGTAGATGTGTGTGAGAGAAAAAGTGATTGAGAATGAGAGAGGAGAGAGAAAAAGTGATTGATTGATGTATAAGAAAGAAAAAGTGATTTTGGAAATTTTTTGAGAAAAACTCAAACCAAACAATTTTTTAGAATTTTTTTTTTAAAACTCATCTCCCAAATGCAAACCAAACATACCCTAGGTTTTTTAAGGATTTTATTTCTTGTTTTCTACAATTGTGGTACCTTTCAAGGATATATGCAGAACATAATTTGCTATTGTGGTCCAGAAAGTGGGGTTCAGTCAGTGCAAGATACTTGTTTGTTCCCCCAAACATGTAGGGCACCAAACCTAGCATAACCAATTTTAATTTCCAGTGAGTTCATTTGTTACATTAATGTTTGGATGTAATCTGTGCTATGATTGAAACATGTTGGAAACATTTACTCTATTAAATTACCTGTTTTTCCTCTTTCTTATGTGCATATATATATATATATATAGTATGAACGAATAGAAGAGAATGAAATATTTGCAAAAGTCACAATGAAACACTAATATTCATGTACCAAGGGCAGCTACATCATTTACATCATCAGGCAGGAGTTATGATTGATGGATACCTTCTGCTAATAAGTTGGTAGGATCTGTATCGGATCTATTTCCTTTTTGTTGATTGGATTATACATTTTACGTGTCTTTCATTCTGTTAGAAGTCATGGTGATCAGTTTTCTTGTTACCATATACCATAAAACAGGAATGAAACCCATGAAGTAATAAAATATCTGGAGTTTTGCGTTCACCGTTTGCAAAATGAGGATCCTGGAGTTCACAGCTTGTTGCTCTCTCTGTATGCGAAGCAGGTTGTTTTTCTCACTCAAAAGCTTAACAAAGTTTCTGCAAACGGTTTTCTTTATCTTATAGTATATAGTGGTTCACAACCTTTACAATTTGTTTGGTTTCAATACTACTTTATAACTACATTGAATCCATAGTGATGTTGATAATTGATTGGTTGAATACATGTTTATATTGTTGCCCGCTGTAAGTATACATATGGAATGAGATTGATAGACATTTATGGTGAGAAGTTTGAAAATTTGTGGTCGGAAATTAAAGTGAAAATTTACTGCTGTGTTGATGGAAATGTTTATGGTCTTGCAACAACAGCCGGCACGACTCTAGCATCCTAAAACCTTCTGTGAAAAAGGATCTAAAAATTAGATACAGGTACGAGGGATATGTCCTCTAATTGGAAAAATAAATAAATTTATATATGCAAAGTAAAATTTATTCTTGATATATCATATTAGATACAATGATTTTACTATAATTTTATTTATTAGCAATGCAAAATACAAAATACAATGATTTTACAAAAAATTTAATATACATGCAATGATTTTACTCCAAATTTTATTTTTTTTCCTCCAAAAAAAAAATTAAAATAAAAATAAAAAAAATAAAAAAAAAACTAAGTAGTATCTGTTTCGAAATAGAAGGATCGGATTTGTATCCTGTACCTATGTCCTGTCATGTTGACATGGGTACTTCACCAAAACTGAAAGTCCATGTAAAATAGGTTGATTTTTACAACTGGACTTTTGGATATATTTTATTTGCCTTAGCTACCTGGACTGCTTCTGTAGATCTTTACAGTGTCATGAAGCTATATATATAAATGGGTAAGCTAATGAAAATATAATCTGAACTCAATATGCTGTATTGAGGTTCTTTTTTTTTTTGGTTCTCTCACTTCCATGGTGATTTATGATGAGTGCAGATGGGACAGTCTCACAAGCTTTAATTCCCAAGGTGATATTGGGCAGTGGCAGAAGTGGTATTATGTGCTGATTTTATGGTTAGATGCTTGTAAAATTTTGAGCTTTTTAAGGATTATGATATTATATAGAAGGAATTAAAGTTTGGGTCTTGTTAAAGAAGGATGAACGAGAATTGAGGGCTGTTCTTGGTGCTTTGAACAGTACCATGAGCTGTACCCTTTGCTGATTTTGGCTACTTTTATGTGGATTGCAGTAGGACTAAAGGAAAGATGGACTAGGCATGTCCATTGATATTTTAAAGGTAAAGCAAAAGGGCGATCATGTCTGGCTGTGGGCTTTAAAAGGCTCCTGAAGTGTAGAAAGTAGAAGGAAAGTGTAGAAAAAAAATGCTAGATGTCATATGTAGATTCCAATAGGAATATACAGAATTGGGGCTAGAATTGCATCACACAATCCTCAAATAGCATAACTATTAAATTTACTTTTAACTTATTCTCTACTTAACTAAAAGCATTGCATAGCTATGTTGAATTGGGTAATGAATCCACATACAGAAGCTAAAGAATTTGGCACCATTTGAATCAACTAAAAACCATATACAAAGACCCGACAGCTTAATTTGGAGTAATACCACATGGTGATGACTTCAGCCCACTTCAGCACATCTTGCAGTCAAATTCGACCTTTGAAACAGAAAATAAATTAAAAAATTGGCTAAATTCATGCCTGACCTAAACAATCATAAGTGTATGTGGTTCTGATGCTAATTTTAAAGTTAATTTCTTTGATTTTACTCCTTGTTGAGCCTCAAACGGAGCATGTCACCTGAATGCTTGGTAGGCAATATGGGTAGCTCCTTGCTGCTATTGTATATACAGTGATGTTAAAGTTGTCTCTCTTTATAACTCATTTAATCTCCTCATATTGCTATTATTGAAACATATTATTTTTTATTTTATGTAGTTATCTTTTATTTTAGGATTACCATTGTGTCCAAGTAGATTTTTGTTTAAATACTCTAGGATTGCCAGTTTGGAGCATGTTTCTGGTATTTAAGAGGGAGAATAGGTTGAATATATATATATATATATTATATATTCCAGATCAAGGAAATTACTGTGAATGTTTTGACTTAATAATGTAGTAATGCTTTCTATTTGTTTTGTTGCATTTGCAATATCTGATATTGTCTTTGTTATGTTTTGGGCCTTTTGGTACATGTTTGGAATATTCATGTTACAAATGGAGACACACACATCAAATGGAATTTTATACTAGTCAGTAAGTTTGAAAATTGAGGTGGCCCAATACCAAATTTAATAAATGCAGATTTGTAGATTCATTAGCAGAATGGTTCTCATGTAAGGAAAATGGGTGTTGTCATGGAATTTCACTTGTTCAAGATGCTCATGTTCCAATAGAATTGAGTTCAACTGGTGTATTTTTTTGGGGATATTTGTAGGCTGTATGGGATTTGAGGAGAACGTATAATCTCTAGTTACAATTGCATCGTGACATTGAACTTTCACATGCAGTACAAGTTTGCTCCAGACCTCATCATGCTTGATGCATATGAAACTGTGGAGTCATGGATGACAACAAAAAACCTGAACCCAAGGAAGTTAATTCCTGCAATGATGCGTTATTCAAGTGAACCTCATGCAAAGTAAAGTTCTCCCCAGTTTGAAATTATGGCAAAAGATTGTTGTTTTTTTATAAATCAGACTGAAAGCATAAGTGCTTCTTTAATCATTACAATACTCCAGCTATTTAGGGAATTTAGTTAAAGGTGGATATGATCATTTGATTGTTGAATAATGTCATACTTAGTTTATTTCAATGGTTAGTCTAAATGCAGTTGCACATACAATATGTTGTGCTGCAATTACTGGCAGTTAAAGTTTCAAACCATTTTGCCATGCATTTGGTTTCTTATCCCATGGATTCAGCACAGTTGATCTGCTGCTGTGATGATAGTTTCTATTGTTGGTCGTTTGGTAAAAACTAGGTTTTTTAAGGATTTTATTTCTTGTTTTCTACAATTGTGGTACCTTTCAAGGATATATGCAGAACATAATTTGCTATTGTGGTCCAGAAAGTGGGGTTCAGTCAGTGCAAGATACTTGTTTGTTCCCCCAAACATGTAGGGCACCAAACCTAGCATAACCAATTTTAATTTCCAGTGAGTTCATTTGTTACATTAATGTTTGGATGTAATCTGTGCTATGATTTAAACATGTTGGAACCATTTACTCTATTAAATTACCTGTTTTTCCTCTTTCTTATGTGCATATATATATATATAGTATGAACGAATAGAAGAGAATGAAATATTTGCAAAAGTCACAATGAAACACTAATATTTATGTACCAAGGGCAGCTACATCATTTACATCATCAGGCAGGAGTTATGATTGATGGATACCTTCTGCTAATAAGTTGGTAGGATCTGTATCGGATCTATTTCCTTTTTGTTGATTGGATTATACATTTTACGTGTCTTTCATTCTGTTAGAAGTCATGGTGATCAGTTTTCTTGTTACCATATACCATAAAACAGGAATGAAACCCATGAAGTAATAAAATATCTGGAGTTTTGCGTTCACCGTTTGCAAAATGAGGATCCTGGAGTTCACAGCTTGTTGCTCTCTCTGTATGTGAAGCAGGTTGTTTTTCTCACTCAAAAGCTTAACAAAGTTTCTGCAAACGGTTTTCTTTATCTTATAGTTTCATATAGTGGTTCACAACCTTTACAATATGTTTGGTTTCAATACTACTTTATAACTACATTGAATCCATAGTGATGTTGATAATTGATTGGTTGAATACATGTTTATATTGTTGCCCGCTGTAAGTATACATATGGAATGAGATTTATAGACATTTATGGTGAGAAGTTTGAAAATTTGTGGTCGGAAATTAAAGTGAAAATTTACTGCTGTGTTGATGGAAATGTTTATGGTCTTGCAACAACAGCCGGCACGACTCTAGCATCCTAAAACCTTCTGTGAAAAAGGATCTAAAAATTAGATACAGGTACGGGGGATATGTCCTCTAATTGGAAAAATAAATAAATTTATATATGCAAAGTAAAATTTATTCTTGATATATCATATTAGATACAATGATTTTACTATAACTCAAATTTTCTTCATTATACACCCTTCATGTATTTCCGTTCACAGGAGCAGGTATTCAAGTATATATGGTTTTCTTGATTATGTTTTCACATTGATTTTCCTTGTACAGTGCCGTTGCATTATTAATCTAGAACTGAGCCCAACATATGCTGGAGATGATGTAACAAAGTTTCTTTCTTGGATGTGTATCTTGGTAAATGCATGCAATGGTTTTTATCTCTGTTGTATTGTATTTGATTTATTCGCTTAAACACTTTTAACATGGCCTCTTTATTAGTAAAATCATTAGTCCACCTTGTACATGTCCAAACCTTCCTAGATAACTTGGTCTCATATAATTCTCAATTGACACTAGTCACATTACCCTTAGCTTCTCAGTAGTGAAGAGTGATTTGATTCAAGTTGAAGGAACAAGGACAAGAGGAAGCTAAAAGTAGTTAGACCCACTTAAACCTACTCCACTAAACCTAACCCACTACACCACTACCACCTCCACTTCACCTACTCCTTACCTACTACACACTCACCCTCTTCTATATATAGGAATCATGAATCATTGTAATAGATATCAACATTATATCAATCAATAATACATACAATTTATTCTCTCTCTCTTTCTCTATACATTATTTCTTACAATATAGAAGGAATTAAAGTTTGGGTCTTGTTAAAGAAGGATGAACGAGAATTGAGGGCTGTTCTTGGTGCTTTGAACAGTACCATGAGCTGTACTCTTTGTTGATTTTGGCAACTTTTATGTGGATTGCAGTAGGACTAAAGGAAAGATGGACTAGGGATGTCCATTGTTGTTTTAAAGGCAAAGCAAAAGGGCGATCATCTCTGGCTGTGGGCTTTAAAAGGCTACTGAAGTGTAGAAAGTAAAAGGAAAGTAGTAGAAAAAAAATGCAAGATGTCATGTAGATTCCAATAGGAATATACAGATTTGGGGCTAGAATTGTATCACACAATCCTCGAATAGCATAACTACTAAATTTACTATTAACATATTCTCTACTGAACTAAAATCATTGCATAGCTATCTTGAATTGGGTAATGAATCCACATACAGAAGCTAAAGAATTTGGCACCATTTGCATCAACTAAAAACCATATACAAAGACCCAACTGCTTAATTTGGGGTAATACCATATGGTGATGACTTCAGCCCACTTCAGCACATCTTGCAGTCAAATTCGACCTTTGAAACAGAAAACAAATTAAAAAATTGGCTAAATTCATGCCTGACCTAAACAATCATAAGTGTATGTGGTTCTGATGCTAATTTCTTTGATTTTACTCCTTGTTGAGCCTCAAACGGAGCATGTCACCTGAATGCTTGGTAGGCAATATGGGTAGCTCCTTGCTGCTATTGTATATACAGTGATGTTAAAGTTGTCTCTCTTTATAACTCATTTAATCTCCTCATATTGCTATTAGTGAAACATATTATTTTTTATTTTATGTAGTTATCTTTTATTTTAGGATTACCATTGTGTCCAAGTAGATTTTTGTTTAAATACTCTAGGATTGCCAGTTTGGAGCATGTTTCTGGTATTTAAGAGGGAGAATAGTTTGAATATATATATTATATATATTCCAGATCAAGGAAATGACTGTAAATGTTTTGACTTAATAATGTAGTAATGCTTTCTATTTGTTTTGTTGCATTTGGTAGTGACAGAGTCAAGCTGAAAGCGACCAAACTGAAGACTGATAGAGGTAACAGAAGTATTGCGAAACCAGGTAATGATTTGGTAATTCTTACTGTCCCATTCCTCAAGGCGATCTTCATATGTAGGAGTAGCAGGAGAGACAGTGGTTTCAGCAGTGTCTTTGACCGGTTGGGTCATGTCCCCGGTGATAATTCGCCAGAGCTTCTTTCCTTTGAGGAAGGAAGACATGGCTTGGGCCCATAGAACATAGTTGGAACCATCCAAAATAACGGAAATGGGATGGGAGGCATCAGGACGATCCATAATAGTAGTGGAGTAGGGCTAAATAGATAGGGAGAGACCTGTAGGAGCAAAATTAGGTAAAACAGAGTGTACCAGTGAGTCCGGAAGGTCGAAAATAGCTAGGAAAGGTGGGCTGTGTAGGGATGATGTCAGCAGGATGAAAAATGATGTCAGCGGCGCACGTTAGCAGGGATAACGGGCGGCGCACGGTAGCAGAGGGGGCTGGCAGCGTATGTTAGCAGAATGGCGCACGCGGGTGCACAATAGCGGAACGGCGCACGCGCGGCTCACGGTAGACGAACGGCGCACGCGGGTGCACGGTAGCAGGTGCGGCGCACGACAGGGCCGGGTGGAAGGCGCGTGGCAGCGCGTGTGAGAGTGGCAACGGAGGCAGAGACGCGCCGAGCAAAGAATCGGCGCGTGAGGGCTTTTCTGGTGATGGGCTTGGTGCCGTTGGAATCGTAAGGAGATTCCGAGCTGTTTGGTATAGTCCACTGTGTACGGAACTAAGTACCAAAAATGAGGGATGCCAGAATTGTATTTCTGGGCTCTGATACCATGAAAGATTGGAAAGGAGGAAGAGAACAGAGAGAGACTGAATTGAAGAATTGATGTAGTTGTATTATGTTTCTGTGTTAATACAAGAGTGAGCTCCCTCTCTTTATAGAGAGGAGAAGGAGACAAATGGAATCGGATGCCTGGTAATTACATTGAGATAGGCTAAAGCTAAAGTGAAAGTGGTGGCCTTTACAGCTACGCATTGTGGCCTTTACAGATACAAGGTCTAGTGGGGGTATATATTATATGTATACATGGTAGTGGAGATATATTATATGTTAACATTGTTAATGTATTAATGTGTTCTTGGAGTATATGTTATATTAAAAGAATTATACATTTTGCATAAAAGTTAATACCATAAAAAAATGTATAATATTTTAAAGCATGCTTAGTAGACTTTATAATAAAATTCATCGTTAATGTTTTCATTATATGTGAATAATAAGGGAATAATCACATTTTTTAATCACGTTTTGCTAATCTTATAATGCGGTATACTTACAAACAAACATTTGCACGAATCTTATTAATACTTCATCATTGATAGGCCTATCACATCCAATTATAAATAAAATGTGATAAAAAGTTATTGATACTATGTTTCTGTAGTACTCACCTTTGCTTGTGACTATGCCATTTTTGTTGTACATTAATGTTGATTTACTTCAACCCCGTCGCATATTTTGTTCCCTAATAATATATAATATATATTTTCAAATATAAATATTTATTTTTTTGTGTGGTTTAAGGCATGTTTGATATCATTTTCGTTTTCTATTTTCTCCTATGAAATTGAGAAAGTAATAATATATATTACCAAAAAAATTGTTCTTATGACTGCAACCATGCCGAGTCAATTAGAGTTGTAGATTATTATAGTTTGAATTAAAATTTCAACAAGTTTCCAAAATCTATTAAAGCTTCTATACTCATTTCAAAAAAATTATAATTGAGCCAAAACTAAGTAAGTTAATTTTTTATAACACATATTAACTTACAAAAATTAACAAGTATTGAAATGTATTTACTCTGACCTTTGGGAGAAGCATTCAATGAATAGGCACGTCTTCTCTGGTTTTAGTTTTCAAACTTTTTGTTTATGAAAATACAAAAATCAAAAGATCAAGAATGAGATCAATACCAAACAATTATAAATACTGAAGCTTCCCACTATACCTCCCGTACAACATTCTGAAGGAATTTTATACATGAGGTTTTGAATTACTAAAATTTTTGGCAAATTGGCAACTTGGCAACCAAACAAAGTTTATTATAAAAGCTCACTCCTCTCACATATACAAAAGGATCTTGACGACAATTAATACATTGCATATCGTGTCAATATCTATAAAAAGGTGTTGGGTGCCAGTGAATTGAGGGGAGGCTCGATAACGAATAGGAAAAAGCTTAAAACTAGAACAACGAGGGAGAATATGACAAGTGATTTACAGGGATTGGCATATTGTCTAACAAGTGTGATTCCTTCTTCTTGACCACTTTTTGAAGATCCATCATCCATTCGCAGCATTGGGCACGTCAGAAAACCATACAATATACCCGTAAAACCTGCTCCAAAATGTGTCCTGCAACATGTTGTAATATCATTAGAATGTGAAGATCTTTGTCTATTTTCTGTGTAGTCAAATTTTCAATTCTATAGCACTAAACAACAGTTCATATATATTTTGTCATGCATATAAGTGAAACTTTTTCAAAAAATATTTTTTGTAGAAAAAGTTTTTCTATATTTGATTGCATCCTTGAAACTAATGTACTGGCGGTGGTGGGTGGAGGTGGTTTGGTCGGAAAGGGGGAGAGTGGTGGTGGTATAGTCCGAAAAGTATTTGTCATATTTCAAAAGTGGAGAATATTTTATACTCAAATAAGATTGTTTTTCATTGATCCAAAAAAATGTTCACTTTTGACTTTCATTTTCCGATGTACCAAACACTAAAAACGGAACATTTGTACCCATTTGCTTTAAACTTCCGGGGAAATCAAATTAAAATTATTTTAACTTGTAAAGAACTGACCAGTCATCAATTGGACCAAAATTGCTTAATATGCAGCTGATGCCGGTGGCAATTATTGCTTTCTGAAGCATGTTTTCAGAATCATCCTTTGTGATCACCTCCTTGTTCTGAATTTGATAAATGAGCCAAGCTCCAATTACAGCAAATACTGGTCCCTGAACATGTAGAACGACTTCGTTAATGTTAGTATGGACAGAAAAAGCATTGCAAGAAAAACAGAAAGATGCTGAATTTGAAGCATTATATCAGAACAGTGCTCGCACAAACTTTGCTTGTCAATGTAATGTAATGTTTTTTCTTTAAAAGAAAGAAAGAAAGAAAGAAAGAAAGAAAGAAATAGAAAAAATATGGTAGGAGAAATTGTCATAAAGATCTACATGGTGGAAAGACCAAATGATGGCTCAATTTTCAGTGTAGTTACTACGTGCATATGAAATCCCAACAAACTAATTTCAAACCTCGACTCATTTAGGGAGTGTGTTTGTGTATGTGTGAAGAAACACATATCTCCATTGGTTTGCCATTTTGAAGCTACAGACACAATCTATATATTTCTCCAGAAAATGACTCTCAGTAACATACAGACCCATAGAGAGAGAGAGAGAGAGAGAGAGAGAGAGGCACATTTCAATTACAATAAAAATCTTTGCAATGACTAAAGACAGCAAAGCAAAATACAAATAGAGCAAACAAGTCTGAACTCTATATTGAAAGGACAATGAGGTAAAAGTAACCACAACGACCATGGTATTATTCACATAATCTATCATGAAGTGGAAATTGCCCGGAAAAACAAAAAATAAAAAATAAAAAGAAAAGAGATACAAGGAAAATGAAAAAATACATAGATAGTATGTATAAGATTATATACCAAAGAAATAAAAGAAAACAGTGCAACACGGCTTACCGTCCCACCCACAGTTGGGTCTGGTGTTTGACGAAAGCTGGTCAAGTTACCAGAAATTCCTCCAAGAATATATATCAATGAAAATGTAAAGGAACCATATGCTCTGCAAACTCGAGGCCCAAAACTAAGAAGCACCCAACAACCAAGGGCCACGTTAAGGATTCCCGAGTGCTGCAAATAGAAAATGTTTAAAAGAAGGCGAATCTAAAATGTTCACATCTCAAACTTGTGTGCAGTAATTTACTAAAGGAGTTCTTGGACATCCAGAAGAATTCAAACCAGTACTTTATTTTCTCTTTTACATTAAATGGAATTGAAACAGTCTACTGTTTCTTTCAAAGCATTTTTGTATGTAAAATATATTGATGTATATTATTGATTGATGTATGTTGTGTATTACAAATGGTGAGTGGCTCCTTATATAGGAGATGTAGTGGAGTAGGTGGTAGTGGTAGGTGTGTAGTAGGTGGTGGTAGGTGTAGTAGGTGGAGTAGGTGATGGTAGGTTTTAACAGCCCCCCGCAAACTCAAGGGGGATAGGAACTAACCAACTTGAGTTTGGAGAGAGTAACAAAACAAGAAAATAATCTGAAAAATAAAAAATGGATAGGAGACACTGTATGGTCGTGTCAGAACC